TTAGTAACAACGGTGGTGATTGCGCATATCTAATAAAGCACAAGGGACGATGAGACTTAAGTCGCCAGTATAGAAGATGAAGAGGAGGAGAGGCAACACGACACTTTGCAACGTGCCGCAGGACTGTTTAGAGAACTGGACCTACGAGATCCGATAGCAACAAACTGTTTTCTGTTGGTCAAGAAGTCACCTAGCCGGCGAGGTATACTCCTATCTAATTTAGTCACAGTCAATTTATTCAAAAGGTACAAAAGTCTAGAAAAACGATACGGGCTAGCATTATGCCATTGTCCAAATGCAGCGTGACGTTGCTAACGTAGCTGACCACGATATCTAATGCGCTCAGATCTTTACTGTATATATTGCCCTTATTCCTGCAATTTCTCCTCAATGGCGCAGCACGATTGCAAGCCTAAACCAACTGTTCCAAGGTCATATCTGGTGAATCTGACAAGTGCCCTCAGAAACAAACCTGGATTCAAGCAGCTGTCGGATCGTTTCGCTCCTGCCTTGCAATTTGCTGGTTGGGAATGTGCAAATGTAACATATGGAACGGTATGTGTCTAAGCATCGTCGAATGGGTATTCCTGAGTTCGTACGGTAAATATGAAATCCATCATGAACCCAGCAACGACCAGCTAGGGAAGCAATGGTAACTAGGGTCCATAGAACCCTTTATGCCTTAAACCAAGTTACCCTTAGAAGATTAATATCTTATACGAAATGAATGAAATCCGCCATTGACATTAATCCACAAAGAAAGAATGGAAAAACCATTTCTTCATGCCATCTGCCTCTTAATGGATTATTGAGATTTTTAGGCTAAGACCAAAATCAAGTACAGACGTCAGATTGAAGATGTCAAAATTAAGTTAGCGAATAATATTATGCACGTCACGGAAATGGTCAGACATGAGAAATACTATGCAAAGATGCTTCCATCGCATGTCATCCTTTCAAAATGAGTTCACATCTGTCATTGTCAAAGTGCCAGCCTGCCTTAAGTCAAACTTAGTCAAATTTTGGCGCGATTTCCTACGGTTTAAAACTTGTACAACAATGGAAAGTGATGAAAAGCACGAACAACTATAGGCGTGAATTTGCACGCACTTGAGTCAGTACGCCGGGCGAAAAAACACCGATCGGTAACATTCCGACAGAACCTCATTTTAAGATCGGCATGTGAAATCTCAATTGGAAATAGAAAAGATGGGAAAGGCATATTTGCAATGGTGTGGATCCCTGCCCATTTACATTTCTATGACATGCACCACCATCTGTGGTATCCCTCCTTCATAAAGAACGCGGTCTTGCCTTGATCTCTGGTCTGATGTCATCGGACATACGTTCCATATATTTTGAAGAAAATATTAATAATTCCTAGTTTGCTAGTTGTATAGTAGTTTGGTCGTTATTTGACTCGAAAAGAAGAAATGCTGAATGGGTCGGATTTATGCGAGCTAGTCATCGCCTCCATCCTACATTGGCGTCTTACGTGACAGAGAGTCGATCTGTTAATCTTGAATTTCTGCAAGTGGCCTTCGTGAGAGACCTTGCGTTCAGCGCTCTACGCTCTAGTTCATGACTGGACGGACAGATAAATCAAACAGTTCGTTCTTTGAGCGTATTGGCCACTCGGTGTGAAGTAACGACGTTTCAAAACGGTCGAAGCTCTCCTGTGCTGCCTTCCTCCGTTTGATGATCGTACTGTCTAACGAGTGTGTTCTGTTCAAATGACCGCATCTGTACCATCTGTTGTAATTGAGGAATAGAAGTTTTTCGCTTATTTTCATATGCCAGGTACAAATTTCTATTTTCGAGTGTCACGCGGTACCGCGTGCTGAGGTAGACGCTGGCCGCTTTGCGAGTATAACAATTAAACCAGCCTGTTGCCTGCATCGTGCTATGCTGGTTGCGAACGGTCATCCCCCGCACCCGAACATTCAGCGCGCAATTAAGGCACAATTGGCACTGCGGATACCGAGCACACAGTCTGATACAGTAAGATTTAGTAGGGACACTTCCTGTTGCGAGGAATATGCCAGCGGAACGATGGACATTTTCACCCGAACTTCTCGATTCCGTAGCACTGCGAAACTTTCTCATTGGAACCTATGTCCATGTGGAAATCATTACTACACTGTTCTGAAGGTAAAAAGGAACAGATTTCGTTGCGTTGCGTTGTGTCAGACGAGATCATCCAAATAAACATCTGTCCTTACCGTAAGCCACGACGGGTTCGCTTATGAACAATAGTCTGCATTGCAAAATGGCGGAATAATAGGCAACAGCGAATGGTAGGATTTTGGTGGCTCAGGTGCCGGATGAATGTTTGATCAGAAGTGGACGGTTTCGGTCATCATATCCAATGCAATATGTGGCAGCTCGAGCGATCGATACCTGTTAGAGAGAGGGGTTTCGGCTGCGGCCCTCTGAAATGTTATAGAAAAATGCCTCCAGACAGATTTCTGTTATCTGTTATGCGACTTGTCTTAATTATGCGTGTGCCATGAACGCAAATCGACGTTCCTCCAGCACCCTCTATTTTCTGCTTTTCACCGCCCCCCCCCCACCGTTGGCCAAATAATTTGATCATCGGGTCGTCGCAGCATGTTTTTGGACGATTGGTCGACATTTGTTGTGCAATGAAAACCGCTCTGGAGTTCCACACGTCCATCGATTGCCTCACAAGCAAGCCACGTGACCGGCCAATGTCTTTTCGACGTCGTAGAGGGCAGAGATCACGTGTGTCAATCATCGAATCTGTACACTCAGAACATCATGATCTCGTAGGCAGACCTGGCGCATTCTTCGCTGCATCGTTCTTCGCGTGATCGCCAGTTCCTTCTCAGTTTTAATAGCAGATCAACATTCAGCACTGTAGATCATAGCAGGTGGGACGGCTGAATCGAGCAGTTTTTTTTCGCCCGCATGTGCAGCCAACTGTTGAGTAACGATGCTGTGATACAGTTACAGCTGGCCGAAGCTTCCCTCATTCTTCCGCTGATTTCTTCGTCTAACGGCCACGGGCCAATGTGGTTCACCTGACACCGAAGCCTACACAGCCGATAACCTCTTCGAGTTCTTCGTCATTCGCGTGCAACAGGCCTCAAGCACAGGGCTGCTTTAATGTCTATTTTGTCCTTGAAAGCTTAACTTCAAATCCAATCGATAATGAGAGATTTCTCTAGCGGCTGCTCGATCTTCTGCTGGAGCTCAATCTTGTCTTGTGCAAAGGCAATGCAGCTGTCATCAAATAACAGGTGCGCTAGACGCTCTCTGTCGATACTCATATCGCTATGCAAGTTTACGTTAAATTCATTTCTGTTTTTTTTATTTACATTTTTGACAATTTCCTGTTTGAATTTATAGAGCGTAATCGTGCCTCCATTTGCTCCTAGTAGTGTAGGAGACTGTTTATGCAGGCCAAGGCATTTTGACCCTGCAGTGATTGAACGCAAAACAGCAGCCCTTTTTATATTTATGTTTATGATCATTCCTCGAAGAAATTAATATCCCATAAACCTCACAGTAGTACAAATGATTTCAGAATAACGAAAGTCATCTATCATACGAAGCGATGGTGCCAAGTCATTCATAGTAGCCCTAGAAACGATTCATGAGGAAATCGATTGGAAAAATATTGGGCTTAAATTAATGAACTCCACTTAAGCCTCGCATGATTATCGACGACATTCCAAGTCTCACAACGTCATCGGAAAAAGCAACGAACAACGTTTCAAAAGTTGAAGAACGTTAGCGTTTGAAGTGGGTCACAAAACGAGCCTGAATGTAACTGACGTGTTACAAAAATACGTAACCGCACAAAATGTTAAAGCCAATGAACTCGGAGTTAAAGAGGTACGAAACTATGTCTATCCGATACAACTGATGCCTGAAATACAGAATCAACAGAAGAGTAAAAACTGAATAGAACGCCCTTGGAAATGTGAGATATCCGATTCGAAAGCTTTCTCTGTGTCTGCAATGGAAACGGAAAGATCAGTGCGCGATTCCAGTGCAACCAGGCTGTTCACAAGCAACAGATCACCCAACACAGCATGGAAAGAAAAAATAAAAAACATACGAATGGCGAAGAGCACAGACAAGGATCTGCGATATCATCGCAATAGCGAAAAACTCGATTAGAACATGAGAGCAAGGCTGGAGACGTTACAAGAAAAACAGGCCTATCTTTGAAGGAAAACACATGAGACTGCGTTCTAAGAAAGAGTCAACGGTCTGCAAGTGAACCCTCAGATCGACAGCAAAATGAAACCAACATTTCAGGCATCGCGGATAAGAGTCGCAGAAAACCACACCTTATGAACAAAATCATAGGAGCATTTCGTACATGACTGCAACCAAAATGACTGATGGTGATGATGACCATACTGATAATCATGGTGATAATGATGAGAATAGGGGGACTATGATTGCGATGGTGGTGACGATAATGACAATGAGAGAAATGGCAACGACAATCCTGCTGACATCTGCATCCAAGCGGCTATGCAAGCGAACAGCCAAATGGCTGCTTTCTTTCCCACATAGCGGTATGCATCGACCTACCTCCGACCGACGACAAGCCAGTGCCATCGTCGATTTTCGAACTCACGATTTTTCATTTCCGGCGACCGAGTGATTCATGTAGATGAGTTACGGTTAGAGTTTCGATCAACAGACTGGCCTAAGACAATT